CTCCCTCCCCACGCTCACGTATTCACCTTGCAGTCTGTTTATTTTTATATCGTGGGGGAGAATTGTCTTATTTCCAATGGTTTTAAGGCGCTTATTTTTCTCTTCACTCTACTGACTGCATACGTATAAACTCCGGGAATTACCCTGCACCAAAACATTTTAGAGTCGATTTTTTTCACTTTAGTTTTGTATATTTGCTCTAAACATTCGGGTAATATAATTAGTCGACGACGACGACGACACTCGTGTGCGGTCCATTATTCAAATTGTATACGCTTGGCTTTGATTTACCTTCTTGGGATTAGTAACGGCACTGTAGTACATCCAAGTGACCATTCGACCGGCTATGTACTATCCATTATCGATTTCGAATGCTTTAGAAATAGTGATTCAAGTCTTTGTCAATCAGTTTGTGTGTGTGTGTGCGATTCGCCCTCTCCTTTCCCTGCAACCATCACGGCGTTTGTTTTTTTTGCTTGGTCATGGGTTGACCTTTCGCCACAAAGTCGCATGTTGCACCTGAATGCGCTAACTTTCCTTTTCCCTGCCAATGTGCGCCAACTTCCTGGTGTACGTATACGCAATTGACCTTAGCGCCTTTAATTACATCAAGTGTGCATGCAGGCCCTCTTAGGTCTTAGCCTTTGCGCTGACAGATATTATTGGCATCCGTTTGGAGTTATTGATGCTCCTCCATATTAGGCAAATTGGATTGGTATCTCCCAAGCCCATCACGAGAAGTGTGTTCAAAGTATGTTGAAGTGTTGCACTCCACCTCCTCCTCCCTTATTGACCAGAATTACTCTGGGTACTGGATGTGTGTGGCCAGGTGCATTGTGAGCTCATGACCTATGAGTTATTAAACGCTTCCACCCTCCAAGTGAGTATTTTCCAACGCTCATTTTGGGGTAGAGGATGAAATCTCTCTGATTGGATTATTGCCAATTCATTGCTAATTTTCCTCAGATTTTGATCAAACCTGTTTTCCCTTCCGTCACGATCTCCCTCTCTCTCCCATCGTTAGGCATTTTGGCCACTTGGCTACGGTTTTTAGTGATACCAGCAATAGTTTTATATGAGATCCCCTGGATCTCATATCTGTGGCAGTAATTTATCATTTTCCTGATTTGATCATTTTTTTATCGAAGCTTCCTTTAATGTAAATCACATTTCATATATATTATAAACTTCGTCGGCGACCATCACCATCATTGTCATCATCATAGAGCATTTCAATGTTGTGGGAAGTGTGTACACACGCACATACACCCAGTTGACCGTCCTCTCTTTTCACTCTCCACCAATTCATTGCTTAGTCCCATCCTTTACGCATTACAAATACAGGTGGAAAGGCGGAGAATTGACAGGAATGTGGGGGAGGGGGGGAGGGGGGTTGGGAAAGACGCTCTCCTCAACTCAGTCCCCACTTGCTTATTTTCATATCTTCAACTTATTGCTTAAATGGCTTAATCGCTCCTTGTGGTAAACTTACCAATCAGGGGGTTTTATATATATATCGTCTTATTTGTTTTCTTCTCTACATTTTAGTTATAATACTTATTTTGTATTATTGTCTAATTAGTAATAATCTAATTTGCGATACCTTACTCCAAAATAAAAGAAGCTATAAAATCATTACTGAACGTTCTGTGTTCGAATACTGAGGGAATGTTATGCATAGCATGAGGCAACACCTGAATAGAATGAGTAGTAAAAGTGGAGATGAAGGGGAAGGGCCTGAGTATATGTAGATAATAAAGTCGGCAGGGCATCAAAAGAATACTAGATCCTCATGTGTTATCCACCTTTTACTTAATGGCTAATTCATTGCACCAACCCCTCCCCTTCACGCCTCCCCCCCCCTCCCCCCTCCTCTTTGTTCCTGAATACTCTTTAATGTCCGCGGAGTTAATAGCGTATTGATCAATTTTAAATAATTGTTGTGTTTTTGACTAGTGGATACTACGTTCTTGTTGGGATATTTTTTAACAGAACAGGGTTCACTGAATGCCGGAGTGTCGTACTTGATCGGATTTGTGTTCATGTTTAAATCATCCATGTTTGGGGATTTATCCTCCGTCTAATTTTAATTATTGCCTCAAATAATTAATCTAGTGATTGGCTCACATTACACCACTAATGCCTCAAGTTTCATTTTCACTGTCAAATGCATTCTTTGTATCTAATTATGAATGTTACATCGAATCCTTCGTGTTGAGCAAAGTTGACTGGAGACTTGTTAAAGGTAAGTATAACTTGATTGGACTGGAATCTATCGATTTTCATTAATTATCTTGATAGATAAGTCGTGTTTCTCCAGTTTTAAACGCTATTATGATTATGCATGTTTCATACATGATTTGCGCCAATGAGGAAATGAAAATGTGCAAATGAATGGACAATTTTTCCTTGGCAATATTGGCATTTATTTTGTATTTATCTATTTTATGTTAAAACAGCGCTTACGTGTGGACTTGTTTTTCTTTCCCTCGAACTAGTGGAATGACCTTGCATCCAGAAAACAATTCTGTGTAGTGGCTAGATATTGTTCCTTAGAGAATTGACTCTGCTCTAAAATTCAATTTTATTGTGAATATATTTTGGGATTGGCGACTGTAATTACATAATTTGGTTAATAAATCGATTAATTAAATAATTATTCAATTTGTTTATGAATAAAAAGCATTCCACCATATAAAGCTTCTTATATTAGTATTTTGGGTAAGTGCAGTTAGGTTTGTGAGCTAAGTTCATAGTGTTCAGTTTTTGTTAGATTGTTGTGACGGAAGCAATTGTTAATCAGGGGGTCACACATGCTTGTCGTAGTAACAAGAATGGGAGAGTCGCTGAATTAGCAGTTAAGCCTATTTAGTTAGCAGCCAACAGTAAATAACTACAGTCCCATATCAACCGGAAAACTGATTGCCATTCAAAGTGGGAGTAAACTGAGAAAGGCTGAAATTTAGTGTGATGAGGGCGGGGGTGGGGGGTGTGGTAGGCATGAAACTGACTTTATGCAGTTTGGTAGAAAAGAAGGCGTGACTTAAACCGATGGAATGACTCCGCACATCGCTGACAGATGAAAGTGAACCTCTGCAACACTCAAACCTGAACCGCCTAAGTGGTTTATCCTACTATAATTAAAAGAAGAGCCACTCGAGGACACGAGATGGTTCAGTAGGGGAAACTTGGGGTCACCTCTGAGTGTGTAACCCTTCAAGTATCAGAATGAGATGGGGATAATTAGGTTCCAGGGGTTAGTGATGACCTGGATGAAAATGTTGGGGGGGGGGGGGGGCTTGGGGATTCGTCTTCCATATGGTTAGTTATCTAGAAGGGATAGAATTTGTTATTATTAATATGATCCGCTGAGCATATCCATTTTGCAAATTCTTTAGAGGTTTCCGTTTTCAAATTAACCTGAAATTTTCCTAATCCTTTTAGCATAACGACAAATGAAGTGTATCGTGAAATACTGTGTGATTTATTTTTCTACTTTCAGTTTTAGGTCAATCTTCAGAGCTCTTAGAAAACGCTCTTTTTAACTCTCTTTTTTTATCCTGCACGTTTGTATGTGTAAAATACATGTATGTGTGTTAAACAATTAAAATGTTTTGATCTAACTTTGGCACTGCTTGTTTGACGTCATGACGACTTTCTGTCTTTCCTTGTCCTTTCCTCCTCCTTCTCCTCTTCTTTGCTACCGCCGCACACCGGCCTGCAAACCAATCCCGCATTTCGCTACAATTTCCCAGTGATAGTCCTCCTCCTCCTCCTCTCGTGGTTTTGCTTTCTACCTTTCCTTCTGCCTCTCTTCCCCCCACCCCCCACCCCCCTCTCTTTTTAACGATCAAATGCTCACTTTCCCCGGGGCAGATTAGTTATTTACTGAACCAACGTTATTTATTTATTTATTTATTTCAAATGGCAGGCGTTATGATGGTGTTATCATTAGCACTTTAGTTGACTTCGGGCTTCAAAGAGGGGAGAAGAACATCAAAATGAGAATAAGTCGATAGAGTGAACAGGAGAGTGATCCGCAGATGTAAAAGAGACAGATGCAGAGTCAGAGAAAGGGTAAGATAAGTACTGTGGAAGTGGTCGAATATGACATAGAGTGGGGTCATGGTTGTTTAAAGTCAGAAGTCAACTGCCGATTAATTGACTTGCCGTATGAGCATACGTTGCTCAGGGCGCACCACGTGGAGGTAAGTCAATCGCACACCCCTGATCCAAATTATAGTCTTTACTAAATTATCACCTTGGCGTAAAGAAAAAGAATACGCACATTTCTCCACTTTAGGAGTGCCTTTATGAAATAACCGGTTGAATCAACCCACTAGCACACAATTCCAATTTGGCTACAATTTTGCTCTCCTGTCCTGTTCCTTTCTTTAGATGTGCTCTGGGCAACTTTTTTCCCATCTAATCTTTTTCTAACTCATAATTCTCCAAAGATTCTCCCGTAATTGCATCTCCTCTCTCTCTCTCCTTGGATCCTCTTTCTCATCAACTGATGGAGTCTTATTTTTCCTACTCGGGGGTGGTTGCCCTCTGTG